CCTATGATCCCCTTTATTTGACCAACGGGGTTAGAGAAGGACGATCAAGCCGTAAATCAGGTCCTTGCAGAGGGACATCGTACGTCTAAAATTCGCTTTAGACCCACGTCAAAAGTTCACCAATCCCGCTTGGTTGCAGGTTACTCATCAGTCGTACTCCCGGAGTGTTCCCCCTTTTAACTACCAGGTGCTCCACCTTTTTGAGCATCCCGTTGTGGGGAAGAAATTCGTAACTTAATGTGATCCAAAAACGGCAGTCAATTACTTCTTCGAGTCACAGTTCCCTCATTCCTGAAGAGATGGCATCAGTGGTTGGCTCAAAGGATAAAAGAAGGTTGTTGACTTCTTCGGCAAAAATTTCCTCGAAAATCGATTGATATGAAAAAATTTAGAAATGACTTAAAAAAGGTCTCCATTTTGTCGCAGGACTTATTTGCCAACCTAATATTTTCAAAATGCAAGTGTCAATTGGTCCCATTGGAGGAAGTAGTAAGCCCTCAATGGGACCAATTGACACTTGCAACTTGAAACTAATTTGATTCTGTGCAGTTTAACAAGCTCTCATGAGCCGCCTTCTACAGTGATGTTAGCCAGACTATGTGAGTGAAGAAAGGGTCCAAAGCTTGTAATGGTGATATCTGGTGCCCCGAATGCGAAATGCTGGTGTCGTGGAACGAAGGCTTTCAGCTGATGGTGAATCATACCTAGAGGTTACGGTTATTAAAGAATCTGCTCGCATAAACCTCTTACCTTTATACTCTCGCCTTTTGAACATGTTTTCAATGGACATTATTTGCACGTCTCCCAAGTATCGAAATTTCTGCAGAAAAACGTTCAAACAGAGCAATGTGAATTCAACAACTATTCTATCTAACTACAAAATGATAAAACAAAGTAAAAGATATCGAAATCCGCTCCACCCGGTGGCCCTACGTTGACGCCTACCATGAACTCAAGCCGACCAAAGTCGGCTATGAACGTTACCACACCACTGTTTGCGGTAATATTATACTTTCCCTATTGGTATCAAGACCTATCACTGCCCTTTAAAGACATTTCCATTACAAAAGATACTTTATTATCAACAACACCCTTTTTTATCAGACTACATCGAAGGGTTCATTCAACCATTTTGCAGTTGTTGTGGTTTCGAGGCGGAATCACGGTCTAAGTTCTCTGACTTAAGTGGAGCTAGAGAACTTCAGACACAGGTTTTACCCAGGGAACCAAATGTAGAGCTCTACTGAGATACCATTAACGTTAAGGAAAAAGGTGGCCGGTATTAAGAGCAAAACCTGTGTGTGGATTCCAGAAGCCTCTATACACTGGGATGGCGTTCTGAATTCCAAAAGCCCTTATACACTGGGATCTACGTGGATAGCTCTACGGTAGTTGGTCTACGATTCATCGGAATGCATTCATCTCTTATGCTGGATCGCTGTTCCCAGGTTTCAATAGATGGTAGAAAGGGTATGAAAGGAAAGGAAATGTGCCCCTCATACGCCGCTCGCATCAAAGATCAAAATCATTCAATACACGCTCCTCACTTATACGGGATGATAAGTGTTCCATATCTGATATCATTAGTTATGAGGACTTTATTTTTGGATTGCTGCATGGGTACTCCCTGGTGGTTGTTCATTGCACACTCGCCCAAACCATAAGTAGCAACATCGGCTGTGTAACACCAAGGTTCAACATAAGTGCTGGGAGATGTCTGCTGGCAAGACGCCAACAGTAAACCCTTCCTGAACATATTCATGGCATCGGCGACCATATCTTCCGGTGGATAACTTTTCTTCACACTCGCATGAAAAAGATAGAAAGCATCCGAAGACACGAACAGCATAGGAAATGGCTCCATTTTCGTCATGATGCCTGTTGAGCAAAGCCATATCGTGTAGTCCGAATCCTCTACAGTCAAAATTTATCTGAAATCTGTTTAACTCATTCCAAACAGCATATATCCTAAGAGAACAAACCTTATAAGTAAAATCTTCAGTTAAGTTCACAGGTTGCTTGTTTTTTGAGTGCGCTGAAATCAGCAAAATCAAGTTGGCTTCACTATGGAGTGTCGACTGAGATGAAAACCTACAGCAGCCACAGCCCATACCATCCGTCTACTAAAAATGAGCGAGAATTGGCTTCTATCAAGTTATATACGACTGACTCAGCGATAGAAACTGAAAACAATTGTATCACAAATGATTAAATGTGATAGGAATTAAGCAAATGGGTGGCGCGTATTATACCCCAATGGCTGCTTTCATACTTCGAAGTGCGTGCCTGCACGCAGGTGGAAGCGCGAGTACATTTATGCGTGCGGCGAGCGGATGTGCGACGGCAGTGCTAACCAAGTGTATGACAGCAGTGGGTACCGATCGATACCGCGAATCGAGGATGACTAGTTTTTGTGCATTTTGAGCTTCGGTGGCCGTTTTTTTCGGTTTTCCTTGTTTTGCAGTGGTTTCGTGTTTATATTCGTTTATTTTTATTCTGTTTTCTTCGTGAAATTGCCACCTTCGTCTTACAGTAGCGCTCAAAAGTCCTCGGTCAAATGCTTCTTCAGTCGTACTTTTCAGTCGTAACTCCTTTCCTCGTGGATCGAATCATGCGAAATTTCAATATGTGTAGCATGAGTGTGTTGTGAATATTTACCACTATTGACCTGCAATCTGATCATATTCTAAATAATCTGAGGAGCTTGAACTCAAAATCAACTGAAAATACAGATGATAGCCCTTCTAGAATCTCTTTCCTTTTTGCCGTCTCTAAAGTGTACGAGCACTAAAGGGAGGAGAAAAACGCACATAAGGTGCGAATAATTGCAGACGTCAATAACTTTGCTTATGGCGAAGTCTACTATCGCTCAAACCCTTGCTCTTAGTTATGTGGATATTGCTGTTTGCAGTCGAATAGTGCTGGGTAGGGTGAAATGCGCCGGTCAAACATATTCAAATTTCACGCGATTTGGTCTACTAAGAAAAAAGTTATGAGCGAAAAAGCGTCAAAGCGTTTGCATTTTTGCTGTCTTTCCGTTGGCCTTTCTGTTTTTCTGTACTTTTTTGTCCTCTATTTTTTACTTCTTTTTGCTCTTTTTCTGCATAAGCGCTAGCATTAAACAGTACGACCTTGATGTTACAGTGAACAGCCGATATTTTTAATATTCGCTGTTGATGATGTGTGCGCCGAGTACTTTTCTGCCATGTGATCGTGCTACTTTCAGGCTTTGATATTATTGGACGTGTCATGTAGCAGCATCAGAAAACCTCAGGAGCCGAAGGACGGATGAGCGAAGTTAGTTTTTCTTGTTCTTCATTTAAGTGGATTCCCCTCTTTATATTTTTGCCCTTTATTCTTTCTATGGTCAGATCTTTTTGTTCTCTATACATTGTGAGTGCATTGGACACATGATGAATTTCTTTTGTTATTCTCCTTCGATTTGGGATGGGGATGATGGGTGTGAGATTGTATGAATTTCACGTAATATTTTATTGTTTTTTGTGTTATTTGTCTGACCGTAGTAATCATGGAAGAGCCCAACAGGATCGATAAGATATGTGATGACCTTTGATCGACGATATAATCATGCTTGTCTTTTCGAGTACGAGGTCCTTGACTGTGATGATCCGAAATGTTTTCGCGAGTTTGTTCACCTGTTCTACTGATCCAGTGAAACCTTTTAATTTAGGAGTGCGAACCTTTTTTAGCACAATATTTCTTTACTCTCTAAATTGTATCGCGCTTTGGATGACAGATATAAAAATAGGCTTTATAGGGTTTTTCTCCTTACCTGGTTTCGCTTGGAGAACGCCCAAAACCTTGACCATTTTCTCTATCTCGTCTGGGAAAATATCTGGGCAATGCGTGAAGCCGAAATATAAAAGCAGCCAGTCCCCTGATTCCTCCAGTTTACCTTCGGTATTGACCAATTCCCGATCTCCACCGATTCGTGCCTTTCCAGCCAAGTATTTCAAATGTTTCTCTCGTTCTTCTAACCTAGCTCCTTTGGTAAGCATCACGTTCGGATTTCGCTCAGAGGTTCATGAAGTTCTTGTCGATTTCTTCCTCGTTGTTTTTCAACCTCGAATCAAAGTCTTTCTTCAGTTCTTCGCTGAGCCGTTCCAATTACTTCGTTATGTCATCGTCAGACTTCTTGCTGAGTTTTCGTCTAGAAAGTTGTTGAGAAAGGAAGCAAGTCAGGCCGCTCAATGGGTTTGTATCTATTCATCGTGGCCACTCTTTCGAGTCAGGACCCACAGTTTGATTACTGTAAGAGTCAAATTCTCGTACGTATAACAACATGAAAGTTCTTCTTTAGAGAAACTTTCCTGATGAAAGCTCGTTTTGTCCTATTAATCAAACCGATTCCGGTATAATAGTTGCTATAATATTACGACAACAAAAAAGAAAATTGGTAGGTTGAAGATGCTCTGCGATAGCTTCCCAGGAGAATGTCCAGAAACTGGAATTACAACCCCATAGATTAGAATTACGAGCGGGCCAATAAGGCATGGAAAGTATATGAGTTTCTGCAAGCTCTCTTTGACTAAGAATATGTTCCCGTTCCAATCTCTCGATTTTCGCATTCGTCTCCTGCTTCTGCTCGTTACCGGGTTTCGCGATTTTCTTCATTGGTGATGTCTTTTCCGAAAGGAAAAGAAAGTCACAGAAGATGTAGTAAAGGGGTGAGAGGATTGAAATCCTTAACAGTTCCTTCGATTCGTGATCAGTAAAATCATGATTATTTCTTTAATTTATACTAACACTGAGCCAGAACTCAGGTTACTAAAGGCTGCTGATGCCTCTTCCTGACATTTTATGTAATCTTATATATTTATTCGTGATGGTACATTGACGGAAGCGGTATTAATAAATGATCTAGATGGATGAAGACCTTCGAATTTTGATCGATGCTGTGGCAAAGTTAGATCAGGCCTACTGGAACTCCCTGGAAGGCGGTGGACGAGGGCGAAGGCAGTATGAACGGAGGGAGCACGTGCCGTTCTTCGGCAACAGGACGAGGACGTTCGAGGAGTACTTAAGGGTGTTTTATGCCCACAACTTCAAACACTATACGAGGCTCTTACCGATCGAGTTCGAACGCCTTCATAAACGCCTCGTTCCGTTGCTGCGACACCCTCTGACATATGCCTCACCAATTAGCAGCCATCAAAGGATTTTCATATTCTTGTGCAGGGCATTGTTTATAAAGAGGCACGTGCTATCCTGAGGGGTGAGGCAATAAAAGATAATCAGTAGTACATAGCGAAAACTTGATGCACTTCGAGAAGTTGTTATTTCAAAATTTGTTCGGTGAGGCACTTCCACAGTTCACCACGGAGGTCTTTGAAGGAATTGCTGCTAAAGCGCAGGCGCAGTTCGATGCGCAAGGGCTGTGGGTTTCATGGACGGGAAGCACGTAAACGAGGTAAAAACTAATTCATTCCATTTCAATAAATGTTTATATAAATTGTAGAAGCCTGCCAATTCTGGAGCGATGTAGCTACAAAGGCACGCACTCCATCATCCCCCTTGCCTTGGCGGATTGAGGTTACCGCATTCTCGCTTTTGATGTAGGGGCGCCAGGTCGTGTGGGAGATGCGGGAGTTTACCGGAGGTCGAGCATAAAAGTAAGCAAAGAAAGAAAGTTTCTGAAACTACTAAACGTGACTACTCCAGAGACTGATCGACAACAACTATCACTTGTTCCCTCCCACACGGAAGCTGGGGAGTGTTGGTCCAGTTTAGTACCACTACTGTTGGACTGTGGTTTCGCGCAGGGGTACCGCTTCGTGCGACCGTATACACGTGCTAGCGCGAATCCGCCTAGCAGAAGAAGGTTTAATGCGAAGCACAGCGGGTAAATGCTAGTTTTTCTCATTGCTTTCACAAATTAATTGTTTTGACAGTGCCCGGCAAGTGGTTGAGTCGACCTTCGGAATATTGAGCCAACGGTTCCGACTCCTCCAGCACACCTTGCAGTTGGATCCCACCCACGCTGCTCAAGTTGTTTCGCCACTACTGGTGAGTACTAAATTCTCTAAAAAGTTTCATTTCCTGACCAGGTGCTGCACTGTTTGATAGCTGGGTGGCGGAATATGGACGGAGATGTGAAGGGGCTACCACCTACGATTCGAGAGCTGGACCCTCCCTCTTCTCGCACTCGATGATGGAGTGCGAGCACGTGAATCAACAAAACTTACTACGATTCACGTGATTACTTCCATTAGCCGCCTTTTTCATGTTTGATGATACGAATATTAATTATTGTCTTTGACAATACTAGATTGATGCATAATTATAGTGGATTTTTTCGCGGGTCCTTTTCTTCCGAGATAATTTGAATATTGAACTCATGAGTTTTATAGAGATAATGTTCTCGCTTTCCTACAGAAAAGCGTCTAGAAAGTCATCCTCAAATTTGCCACATTATGCCCTACTACTTCGAAAATGGTTGGAAGGTGGCAGAGTCATCTAGCGATCTCAACGAACTTTTCGGCGATGGAACCTTTCGCCATGACTCCGTGGATGATGTAGAGTTGCCGGATTTGCATTGTTGGCATCTGGCTGAAGATCGTGGACACCGTCTCCCACCAAGCCATACAAAGCAACCCTACGGACTTTCTGAAATTGAGCAGATCATTCAGGTACTCGAAAAGGGTCAGCTGCTAATTTATACCTCTATTATCTCAGTGGAATGATATATGTGTGTTTTTGCAGTACAGTACTGCAGAAACAGAGTGTTAACTGGAAGAAATGCGAACTGCCTCGACATTGCCTCCATGGGCCTCCATGACACGGGATTTGGAAAGCGCTCCGAATCGTACTGGACCTATTAAGTGAGTTTTTGCATCAACTGTTTGATTTCATTTATCTATTGATAGCGTGGCGGCGCGACTCATAGCCATTTCTACAAAAGTAGTGCAGCATGTCCTCTCGTTCTGCCTCACCTGAATGCCGCACTTCAACAACTGTACTTAATAACTGTGAATATCAAAAAAAGACCTACCTGCGCCTTCAGTGTAATCCACCTCTTCTGCCAAGTTCTGGTAGATTTGTCTTGGTCGCATGTAGTCAAAAGGGAGTCTTCAAGTAGATTGTGACATGCCTAAACAACGGTGGCTGGACCTATGCAGCTTATTCATGTTCTTACCTTATGAACTGCCCTTGTGACTCTGTCCTGGGTATTCTTCCATGGGATGCATACGTGCTGAAGCAGCATAGGATAGCCTACGAGGTTACTTTCATTTCCGACGTGAAATAAGATGATTCTAGTGACACTCGCCCAATTTTATCCTGAAATGGCGTTTTGCAGTACCGCTATGCTGACTGTATTCCCATTCTTCCTACATCCTGTGCAGCGCTAAATTTTGGCCCCTTGTAGATGTCCGCATATGTTCGAATGTATAACACAAAAGAGGCCCTTCGAAAAGTAAAACGTTTGGAGAAGCTAATAAACAAGATTGGAGTTGTGTATCAGGGATTCGATATCGCAGTGTATGGGTGCTTTCCGCCAGCTTCGATCACAGAAAAGATTCGCCGGTGAGGTTTACCATCTGTCGTCGACGAGGTGCAGTTAATGACGATTAGGACGTACCGGCACCTGCTATAAATGTAAAAACCGTCATTTGTACGATGGAAGCAGGAGGACATAATTTTTACTTGTTTGTCGCTGGAATGTGTTTCCTGGGACGCAGAAGGTTGTTCCTCAATCACATGTGAAGCTATAGTCGAGTGAATAGAGGTTCAGACTCTTTTCCTTAACACGAATGAGTGCTGTTCGAGTTAAGCTCGCAGATCCAAGAATACTGATCAAGGTAGCACGGGTGGCGGTAATTGGAGACGTCAATGGTTCGCATAGAATGTGAGTTACCTAAAGTAGTCGTCTGTTTTTGTGTCTGTAACCCACACAGTGCACTTATTGGAAACTGAGGACATTTGTCGTACCGGCGGATGTGCCCCTGCAGGAGTCTCACCTTTGAAAAATCGCGATTACTCTGATTACTGACATCCGGTAATATCATGCTTGAAAGGTAGCCATACCTTCAGGTGCATGTTGCTACGGCATCCTCGACTCCTTGTGAGAGCCCTGAAGAGGGCTGTCGGTTACGCTTGAGCTTGTCGCCACTGTAGTTAACTTCGTTCGCAGACCTAACATCTGATAATCATGAGGCGTGGCGTGTCCCAAAAATGCATTGCAAGGTGCCATGTGTTCGCTTGATTTCGAAAATGGAACCATTTGGAAAGGAAAGTCATAGGTATAACATAGAATTATATATTAGGGTACGCATTTCGTACAGAGGATTTGAAAGAAATTTGTTCGGAGGCACACTTCACGATAAAAGTGGTTTGTGAGATTTCTTCCTGGAATGAACCTGTGACAGGATAAGGCGCAATAAGGGTCCCAATACCGCTCAGCCGAAGTACTCAACCGGAACTGGACGAGTTCTTACGACGTTGTAGGGACTGTAGAGGTTTACACAAACATACCGGGCCGACTGTTGCACGCAAGGAACATGCGACGCATGCGTGACGCATGCGCTCATCAGACCACTTCGCTCACGCAGCACGCGACGCACCACACGGCAGATTATGTACGTGTTTCGATGCGGTATTACAATACCCTAAAGTTGCAATGGGCCAAACGAGATTTGTACTAGCCCATGACATGGCCGTGTTCTTATACAATATACTTTTGCTTGTCCTCTTTCTGTTTCACTGTTTCTTAATTTTTCGGTGTTTTCGCTGTACCAGCTATATGTAGTGACACACACCCACATTTGGACAGCTCGTCCGAATATCAATTCCATTCAACTTCTGCCACCCCATTTTCGTTCGACCCCTAATTATTCTAATTTTTTGCAGTTCTACATCTCTCTGAATAACTTAATTTTGGTACCAGAATCGTCTGGGAGGATAAAAGCACTGGCTTTGGCTGGCCACCGCAAGTCATTGTATCGGCCATATACGCACTCATTACGCCGCTACGATTCTGAATTTAAGTCAAGTGCGGGGGCGCATCCCTCAGAAGGGATTGATTAACGCAAAAACTCTATCCTTATATTATTAACCCAGTTTCGGGTTTCTTTCGCTACTTTTCCACTATTCTGGACAATTACTACCCTTTAAAAGTAGATACCCAAAAATCATCGTAAACTGTGCCTCCAGTTCCTCGCTGACGTTGATAAATGGCTGCTTTCATAGTCCGCCGGCGCGCGTGCCGGCCGGCCGGCNCCCTCGAAGGGGCGTGGACTGTTTGCCTATCTGTCTGCCTCCCTCCTCCCCGCTAGCACTGCCTCCGCCGGCACGCACGCCGGCCGGCCGGCGGACTATGAAAGCAGCCAATGGCTCTTTGCCAAAATGAATTGAAGGCACGATTCAAGCAACTAGATCAAACACATGTGCTTAGCGATACAGTCTTTGGTCACAGAACATTCTTATCAAGAGCTACTCACTCACTTGAACTGCAAATTGAGTGCAATTATAGTTGATGTTAATAATACTGTATCTATAATAAATTAGTGGAAACAATAGATAGTAAGTACAACTACCAAATAAAACTGAAAGTGAAAACGGTTTTCAGAGCGAAAACGTACGAGTGCAATTTGACGTCAGAACGTTAACAATGCCGCAGCCCTATTGTACGTGAAGGCACTGGAAGACGATCATCGACGAGTAATCATTTGTAGGTCAGAATATTGCCAAATTGATCTTGATAAGGATTGTACATAAACTTTCCGTTTGTGTATTTGATAATTCAAGCGATCTTCAGGGACTTTAGTTTTAGCTTCATTAGTGAAAGTACCTACAAGTGTCCCAAAATTCCGAAGTTATGGGCGCTAAATTCATAAATAATTTATCATTTTTATCATTCGCTACTGATTAGTTGCACAAGAAGGTTTTCTTACGATTTACGCACTTACCGGAGCTAGATTTCTGATACCGTCAAGATGGTTAAGGCTCACTTAATGCCCCTTGCAATAATTTAAGTAAGCGTAAGCGGCGGAAGGACATGGTAAAATTCCTTATGATTCGCATGAGCTTATTGTGGTTCGCTGATTCCAGAGTCGCTTACAAATGGTTACTCGTAGTAGGCAAAAAATCTATTTAGGGAGCCCTTGATGATTACCAAATACGTAAATTGATAGGGGTAGAGTAAGTGATGCAGTAACTGGTAACTTCCCTATAGCACCCATTTTGGAATCAAGTTCCTCCTAGGGTAACGAAGCCTTAAGTTCCTCTGCGATCAGGAGCTGTCTGGAATGGAAAATTTGACGACAACTTGACTACGTCAGTTTGAGACTAGAGTTAGGAAACATTCTTCATGATTTCAAGATATAATCGAATGCATGGTGCACACGTAATGAGCCAGTTGACATTTAAAGGCACAGTTCACGATAATTCAATGGGCGGGAACGTCAATGGCCTTCCCGCCTCTCGATCGCTGTCACGACAGACGGTCAGACTAGTATCGGGACAATACCAATTGCAACTATTCGTTCTAGGACCCACACACAATCAACTTATAACCGTGTGATGAGGCAATGTTTGACTCCCATTCGTTTTCCTCTATTGTTCTTTTTGTTGCCGCGATCCCTTATTTGATTTCCTACTCCTTGAGGCTGAAAAAGATGAGCAACATTTGCTGTTACTAGGGTTTTTTTGTTTACTTATGCTTATAGGTGAATGAATTTTTGCTTACCATAGTCTGTTATTCGCACCAGGACCCACACGTCCGCAGTGAGACACATTGTATAGCTCGTCCGAACACCCCACTCTTTTTCATTTTTCTGGTCTCATTCTAGTCCAGCCCCCTGTTTGACGGTTTTTCGAAGCCTTTTTTTCACTTTGGAAAGACTAATTCACGCAATTTCTCCACCTTCATAGCACTATTTTCGATCTTTCCGTCCATTTTTTCATCATAATCTGAGTTACCCAAAATTATCCTGATTTGTGCCTTCAAGGCACTCTCGACAGAAGCACTGTGGAAATCCTATTTAGACTGATCGAGAAAATAATTGAGAAGCTGGATCCCTTGTCATACTGACGGTGTTCAAAAGTTGTTCGCTTGGCCTTGACTCTGACTTCCTCCAGAGATCATTTCTCAGACTGGAAGGAGCTACTCGACAACAACAACGATAACTCAGAGTCTCACTTCCCTTCCGGAGAGTTTGTCGTACACTAATCAAGCACAAAAATGAACACAGAATACTTTTAAAAATACACTTTTATTCTTAGAAATCTGAGATCTATGATTATACAGCGTACCCTTTATGCTAAACTTCGTTCATGAACTCTGTCCACGCTAAACACGTAATGATAACCCCCTCCATCTCGAGGGTTTCGGCTATGCGCTCCGGCTTGTCGCTGTTCATAGCTCGAACAGATCGGTCCACCACTGGTGAAGTTCCTGGTTCTGCTCGAGGGTGTTGAATTCTACCGAAGGAGTAGAAGTGTTCAGCATAAGTAGCTCTGAACAGCATTTTACGTTCATTGCTTTTTGGGCTTCCTAATAAAATATAATGTAAATTACATAATTTTCTATAATATTATAGTTAGCATGGTTCAGTACGTTCTATTCGGATATGGTGGCGGCTGGAAGGATGCACTCTCACCCATACGCATGGTCCGAGCAATGATTCGAATCGATACTAGTCTAGACAAACCTTCTCTACCACCCCACCGGAGTGGGTTAATTTGTACCAGGCTCATCTGAGGAGCATGAATTGGCTCGTACAACCGAATGGGCCCCCGCAAGTTATTGTTCAGGTCACGTATGGACTCAAAATGCTGTTCAATTCATTCCGAATCGAAGCCGAATGTAAAGGCGCATCCAGTAGGATCATTTGAGGACAAGGACAAGAAGTTCGAGAAAGGGGTGATCTGCGCCCGGAGCGGAACTCATACAGGTCCGAGTAAACTTAATATCGGTTTCAAAAAATACCTCTTGAAGTCTTCGTTCTTCACGGAAATTAATCTTAATTAATGATTAATAATCAATCTTCGCCATTCACGACAATCCTTCCATAATTGCCAAATTTCAAATATTCATTCGGCTGGCGAGAAGTTATATGGGGCAAATTGCTTCCTTCCTTTCCCCATTCCCCAGATTGAAACTAACTGTCAGACCATGTTATAAAAGTTCCAGCCATTATTTTCTCACATTACACAAAACAGGGCGTTTCATTTCCGTACCAGGATTGTTGCTCAACGGAGTGTCAACCGAATGTCGTCGTTCCTGTGGAGAGTCACTAGCCTCATCGAGATTTTCCTCAAGGTCAGGCAACTCGTATGTCGGCATCTGTACAGGATTCATGCAAGGGAGCTGATATCGATGTCATGATGCGAAAAATACTTACTTGAATTTGCTTGAGCGTCCCACGACGATCCTTGCCAGCTTTTGTTTCAGTAGCTTTCTCGAGCCGTTTGGCTAAGCTACCAAACATGAACTTTTTGGCTTCGCCAACTAGCTCTGGGATCGAATTTCGTCGCCGTTGTCGCTTTTTGCTTCCGTTTTCCTCTTCAACGCTTTCGCGGGATTCAAACGATTCGAAGTTTTGCTAAAAATGTGCAGTAGGAATTTTAACCAGAAAAAAAGAGGTCACCAGGCGATTGTGATCAAATTGTTCTTACTTAACAGCCTAACTCTAACCTACAGCATTCGAATGAATTCGTTAATATTACGGATTTTGAAAGCGATTAATGAGGCGAGGAAGAGTCTACTAATGCGCTATCCAGTCCTCCTCCTTACCATTAGTAACACTACCTCAGGAAAGTCCACAGAGAAGTGAGGTAGTAACACCTGTATCGTAATCTCGGAGTTTTACGGACACACAGGCGCATAGGAAGGCTGATAGACCGACACACCGACACGTCAAGTAAATACTTCATATAAGAGGGATAGTTACAAAATACTTAGCTTAACAATTACCCTCCGGTATGCAGCTACCGTAGTCTACTACCAGTAACGAACCGAAAAAGACTTACCGCAGCCTGGGGCGAAATTATATGTGCAGAAACCAGATTGTGCTGAGACGGTGTGTGTGGAACATGAGGCGCAAGACAGCTTAGCCGATGCAACGGCAACACTGTCGGTACCGTACTCTCGCTTTGTCCCTGAAGCCGGTCTCTGAGATGTACGGTAGATGGAACAGAAATGGAGCTACGGTAACTAACCACATTCTGCTTTTGTTTGATACGTCGCAGGCAGCTTTCAAGCCATGCACGAATGGTCTGCTTGGCCACCTCTTCTTCAATCAAATACTCCAATTCTTCACGTTGTAGCAGCTCCTCCAATTGAAGACTCTTCCTGATGTCTACACTACGATACGAGAGCATACTGTAAGTATAGCAGTAAGGTAAAGGAGTCTTAGGTTTCAGGCGGCTATCAGAACTCACTTAAGCACATCGTGGAAGGAGACATCTTCGCCGTTGTGTAGTCGTTCCATCTCGTAGCACATATGCTTGAAAAGTAGACGGTCCTTATTCGGATCGACTTCCAGTCGGCCCCGGAGTAAGCGGAGAAGAAATTTCACTCGGCGGGTAGGGATTGAACGCTAAAACGTTAGAGTCAACGCCTAATCAGTCACCTTCACCTTCGGGTAAAGGGTAAACCTAGAGACAAATGGTAATTCATGAATCACAGACCTTCTGATCAGCATCGACATAGTTCCAGACTTGTTGGAAATTCCTGATATCAGCATAAGAAAGTAGAGCATCTTCTTCACTTGAGTAAAACAAAGAGAAATTTTCCATAATGATAGCTGAACCACAAAGAGCTCGGATGGCAGTTTACAGAGGTGGATTTCAGTTGCTTACCGACAAGTACGTTGAGCACAATGTAAGTAATGATTAAATAGAAAGAACAGAAATAAAGTATAGCACCAAAATAGTTGCCACAGTCCGTTTCCCAGTAATTGAGACCTTCGGCCCAGTAACAGAAGGGTGGTGAGCGCTAAATTAACATAGGTAATTGCTATAGAATTCCTCTATGACTTGATGCATATACACAACTTTGAAAATGATATTTTCAACTGAAAAAATACAACTATTGTTCTATGAGCGTTGAAAAATCCAAAAAATAGATTGAGGCACTTTTATGAGCTGAACCTACATACTTTTATTACAAACGATGACGGTATTTAACAGTTTTCATACAATAAATAAGCATTTTAGACGCTTTTCGGAACAAGCATCACCTACCACACCTACTCTACAAGCTCCGCCCACATATCCAAGTATACATATATACCGTTAAAGGAACTGAGCTTATTAATTCATACCACTTATTAATAGAAAAAGGTAGAGTTTTTTAGAGTTAATCAATTCTATCTGAGGGATGCGCCCTCACATTCGATTTCCATTCAGAATCGTAGTGGCGTGTTGGATGTGCATGTAGCCTGTACAAGGACTTGCAGTGGCCAGCCGATGTACAAGTCAGTGCCTTTATCCTCCCAGAGAATCTGATATCATGTAACCGACCGCGTAGGGATGGATGGCCTGGTTGGCTAGGCGGACATCGATCCGACCCCGTAACCATGCGCGCATGTAATGCGCCACTTGCTACTACTCCAGAAAGCGCTCGAGAGCCCCTCTCACCGAAAGATTGAAAAAATCTGCAAAAGCTACTGACCATACAATCGTGCATAATATCATTCCAATCCTCTCCCGTTACCGAACGAAATAGAACGACCAGCGCCTCACGACCATTGCGAAAATTGACATGCCTGCAACAGCGATGAATTTTCTGCTATCAAACAGTAAAAATCCGCTAGGGACCACTAATACACCTGTTGGCTGAAGGTTTTCTGAGAACTTCGAAATGAACAGATCAGATCACGTACACGTTTGAAACGCGACATATCTGTCGCCAATTTTTTCGTCAGCTCCTCAACAATTCCCCCAAAAAGAGGTATTTTCTGGGGAATAGTTATTAGTGATTTGAAAGCCACGAAAATTAAATTTTTTTCAAAGGTTCCCTTGTTCTTTCACTGGACAACCTTAAATAAGGAAAATGGCGGAGAGTAGCAATCTTGCGATGATACTTCTCAGATGATGGACTGAGAATTACGGATGCATTTATTCCCCTAGTAGTGTAACCAGTTGTTATTTTGGAATTCTTTGAGAATCTAATTAAGGGGACAGTGCGAGTTGCGAGACAGGACGTAGACAAAATCACAAGTTGGAAAGGCAACTTGAAAAAAACTAAACAGCCATCAGGGATGAACAAGTGATAACTGAAGATAATCAATAGTAAAAACTTATAAGTTCAAACTGGAAGGGCAAGAAGAAATGGGGAAAAAAGGAGCAAATGCATAGCCGTAAATGGAAATTCTGACTCACTTGCTGACCGCCTGACCATATTTGACCATTCCAAAAAGTATGACACCAGTGTACGCGTAGAAAAGTACCAAAAGGAACATAGCAGCGATGATAAACAATGAGCGAACCATGGACATCAACACAGTCAACATCAGCATTTTCAATGTCGATTTCCTCCCTAAAGCGCATAGACATCGGTTGATCTAGGGCTATTAGCCCATATGGGAAGACATACCAGCAATCGTGAAAAAGCGAAGGATGACCACCATATAGCCAAAAGTATATGTTAGCCTTTTCCACTCATTAATACCACCGGCTATATAGGCTGGCACTGAAAAAATAAAAGGGTGGAAAATAAAAAAAATTGATGGAAATATAGGATGAACCTTGAAAAAGGAAGTGAAACACGATCCAAGTGAGACCAAGCATGGTGATGAAGAAATCGCCACGGTTCCGCCTCGACTGCCAGAATCCTCGGACGGTAAAAGCAACAGCCTTTAGCAAAATCTGGAACAAGCACGTAGGAGGGTAACTCGTCCAACAGTACGAAATGTTCGACCTACCTCAATGGTGAAGAGGATATTGCAGAAGGCTGACATTACTGTAAGACCGAATAGAACGTTCCGTCTTTGCTTTTCTTCTTCTACATTCCATGGGACGACTAATGTGAAAGAGTTCACAACGACGAGGATGGCGAACGACTAAAATAAGGAGTCAGAAAGGTTCAAAGTTGGACCTAGTTTTAGCTAACGGCGGCACCTCCTGACCACCTACGTGCCCTTTCAGCGGTTAGAGCGATGACGTACCTGCTTGAATGCCTTGCTTAGAGTGAGGTCGTAGAGATAACTGCGTAGCTTCGCACTCTCAGGCGGTTTGGGTGGCACATGAAGAGGTTGAGCCATCTTCAACCTCGCTTTGAGATCGTGCCAACGTCGCTGGTCTACTGTAAGAAGAGCTGTGCCCTGAAATCTGTGTCTGTCCAAGTAGCATCATGGAAGCCGGGGGAAACTCGTCCACAACCTACCCTGTTTTCAGTGTAGTTCGCGACGACGACACCCACGAACAGTGTCAATCCGATCATACATCCAATAAATACGTAAATGTGGATGAACAGCACGGCCCACTAAAATGAAAAACGCTTGGTTATATGGAAAGAAGTAAAAGGGGCGTACTACTTTGCATTTTTGGAAAGTATTCATGCTCTGGAAATCTTGAGAAAACTGCTGATATTTGGATTGATGGGGAAATATTTGCTCAGCACAGCATCAAAAAACAAGGGAGCAGTAGTGCAAAAGTAATTTGTAGCCTTCAACAGCCCTTAGCGTTTTTTTTCTAATAACATTCACAATCTATGCTGGGACGCTATCATCTATCAACTCGAATATCCTATTTCTCTTTTTCATTCACCTGACAGAGACAGACAGACAGACAGACAGACAGACAGACAGACAGACAGACAGACAGACAGACAGACAGACAGAGAGTCAGGTACCTTTCACATTACCTTTCTCACTTTGATGTGATTCCAGGGGGAGCGAAAATTTTTCCTAATAGCAAGTGCCGAAACTACCCCAGACAAATGGTCCCCGCTTTCCCTGGAGACACACCAGTGGGAAACTTACCATTCTCTACTTTGTTTCATTCAATTTTTATTACAATGTTTCTAGTTTGAATATAACTCCTTCTAACGTTCCCATTAATCTTTCTAGTTTTCTCGAAAATTCAAGAACTGACCGGTCCTTGACGAAGATAGAGGATGTCTCGGATCACATTCCAACCTTTGTAAGACAACGTCTCAAAAAGAGCTAACATAGCATTCCCGATATGATCAAAATTGAAGTTACGAGGGTTTGTCCTGAAAATCGAAAAAGAAAAAGCTCATTTCTATTACAACTCAAGAAACTTTCGAAGCCAAAGTCCCTACCTTCGATGAAATTTAACCGCTCTCGAAAAGTCATTCAATAAATTAACTACTTATTTGAATGTTTATCAAGTTTGGATGGGTAAAACTAAAACCATTTCTCTCTACGAGGTATTTTTTAAGAAATGCCAAATTTCAAAACTCACCAAACTCTTGGGACAAGAATTTTCGGATGCAGTTTGTCATCGTTTTTGCCATACACTTCCATTCTTGTGACAAAAATCTTTTGCTCAAAAATTCCGGTGCAATTTTCCTGAAAAGGAATGAGATCCTGCAGAATTGTACAGATGGGGTTCTTTATTTGAATGCTATATCCTCCTACAACCGTTCTCCAAATGTAGCAACCACTCCAAGAACGAAGATTGATTCCATAAGACTACCTATACTTCTGTTTTGTGCGAAAAAATAGAGCCTGTTTAAAATTCTGGTTGGAAGTACCCGATGGTCTCAGGAATTTTGCCTTTCGTTAAACCGGGTCTGCACCCACATCCGAGAGATCCGAGAGACAACCGCCTGCCCCTTTTCCATGCTACCTTTGTTCTCACATCCGCTCAAGCGACCAGCTGAACTTACCCTGGCAGTAATTGTCGGATCATTACATGCAGCCAGTTTTCCTCCAACAATTTGCACCCCAAAGCTGGCGAACACAAACATCAGAACTATCAACAGAATTGTGACCTGAAATGTTGCACGATTTTTCCTAGGTTATAAGAAGTTCCAGAGACAGCTTACCAAAAGAATTTCTTTGAAACCGCGACAAAGCTCGACGACGACTCGTCTGATATGTGGTACAAGGGTATAGATGCGAAGCGGTCGCATCGCCCGCATGATCATCAGCAACTGCGCCCACGAGTTGATTTCCACATGGGATGGCATCCACAATAGGTATATCACGCTTGTCTGAAAGTGGATAGTTATCGATCAGACGTAATCATGAAGATTAGGATTGGAATCGGAGTCGAAACTGGCAGAACTAATTTACAGGGTGAAGAACAGAGCTTCTGGGAAATGAACAACTGATCCCACTGAAGGGTGCCCCACGCATTCGACTACCATTCAAAATTGCAGTGGCATAAGAATGTGTATTTGGGCTACGCAGTCCCTTGGTGTCCAGTCAATGTAGTGCAGTGCATTTATCCATCAAGAAAAGTTTGATTATTTTGGTCGGATTCCAATTCGGGGCTCCATCGTGGTATCTTGCCTCGAGAGCTATTCAGAGTCAATATTGGCAGAACTATAATAATTTTTTATTCGGGAGCCATATAACAACACCCCAGCTTTCTGGCAACGGAGGGAAGGTAGTAACAAGTGAGGACCCCATAAATCAGAACAGGTTTGGATCACACCTCATCGAGGCTGTCGACACCCTCCCTCTGGCAAATTATATTGCTCCCCTAGAGACCTATGTATCTTGCTATTGACCGTAATTTCTCACACAAACCAGTCATATGCCATATCACTATTCGGAACGCATGGCGTACTGATGATGCTTTCTGCGAAGGAGCTGACCAGATACTAGAACATTTCATCCTTCTCCCTCTAGGAGCCAGAAGTCAAAAAGTCAAATAAGCAATTACTCAATCCGATCCGAAGGGGGAGGAGCGGGAACCACCCCATGTTTCCCAAGGCTACTTCAACCAAACATTGTACTTTCTCAGAACAACTTACGAAATAAATGAAGAATGTCATGATGTCGCCGACGTCTTTCACAACAGCTTTTGGAGTGAAAAACAAGCCGTTTGCGATGACCTTTACCATTAGCTCGAACGTCATCGACACCACGTACAGATACTCAGTGATCTAAACTGAGCGGGCAGTTAAAACCTACGATCAAAAGGATAAGGAGATATGCGAGCCTGACCTGTAAGTATGGATTGTTGAAAATGAGGTTCTCTCCTGTGGTTGGCCATGGGCTCTCAAACAGCATTGACCAGCACGATAAAGATGTGACAAACACCATCGCCCAGTCGAGATATGTCATAAGTCCGATGAAGTCACTGGAAGTAAATTTTAGTTAGCACATTCATATAATGATTGAGGAAAGGATGCTACTGTAAGGGGAGGGGGAGGGGGTGGGAGGGAGGAGACTCGTCTATACAGTGAAAGAGGCGATGTCATGGGACGAAGAGAGCCGGTAAGGTTAGGGGCTGGTTATTCCAAGGAGTAAGGCTCCATTTCATGAGTAATCTCCAAACTGTAATTGAGGAGCATCTAACTGCCCCCCTCCACTTTTCCTTCCTACGGACACCTTTCAAAAACCACAGAAGTACAAGGGAGTGCCATGTAGGTACTGAACTAATTACAGTTTGCTTTCTTCCCCAACCATTAAGGATCTACTGGTAATTTGCCATACTCCCCTACTTTTGCATGGACGTTCCAAAAAACTAGTAGGACTCACTGTTCTCGTCTGATTCAGTATCTTGATTATCAACTGGGTAGAGCAAGGTAAGGGCTGGTAGAAGAAAGCACCACTCACTGCAATTGCTTGTATTTCAGGACGATCTGCTTCCCAGTGACTGGATCGATACGTTCAGGTGAGTACTGGGCGTAGACGATGTTCTGGCAAAGAATTCGAAGACGAGAATCTCGTCCAACAGCAAATAATGGCCGATCGAAAAGTGGGTGATTCTCTCGCATTTCTTCCTCAATACGATTGCTGAAATCTGAATGACGACAGAGGAACTGAGACGTTCTTGGCTAGCTCTCGGCCAAGTACATCAGTAGTAGCTTTTCAGTAGAATATACAAAATAAATCCATAGAAAAGCGCTCACCGTGTGATTTCTGCATGAGCTCGTTTCTGCTGTAGCGCTTTGATGTCAATCTCACCCTGTTTCGGGTCTTTCTTTGGGGCTGAATCCGTCGGACGGACATCACCGTTCTCGTTCATGCCTTCTAAATGACTCTTGCCCTTCATCGACTGAAATCCACGTGACCGTGAGCCCCTAGAATAGGATGGAGTTGATCAGTCAGGTGTTATCTGAAAGAGGTTCCACGATGGTCTACTCACATGGGTGTTCCTTTACTGCTTTTGAGCATGCCACGTCCAAGAGGTGGGATGATCTGATTGGTGTCGCAGTAGAGAGCTCGATTACGATTTGATTCACTGAAATTTGACTTCGAAACTTAATTATGTATCATTTATTATGCGAATCTAAATTTTAAAAAGAATACTTGAAAATTGAGGAGTGTGACTGTAGGAGAGTAAAGTGAGTTCAGTTAACAAGCATTATTTACTGGTTCCGCAATGAAAACTCGTGAAATTCCATCCAAGATTTTGGACATTGGCTAGTGGTGGAGATAGAAGCTAAACTAGGGCTGAAACTTCGTTTATCAGTTCATGTCGATGGTAGGTTCTGGTTAATTGCCGAGGGTAGGAAGGAGGACGCTCCTGAGAAACGATACCCGTTCGCCCATCAAACGACGCCCTTGCAGCTTCAGTGCATACTAGGTGGCTGAAGGATTGAAGCCTTAGTTAAATCTTCGGTCATACCGTGATCAAGGTACGAGGCAGGAAGTAAACTACTCATTCAGTTGTAGAACCTTGGTACATTATAGCCCTCCTCCATTTTAAGCGCTCATTTAACTGCACACAGATATTCTTATATTGAAAAATGTTTTTGTAATAGCGAATCGAATACTCCCTTGAAACACTACTAGGTGACCCTAGGTCGTCGCCAGTAAGGGAGAACACCTAGGCCAATAGCAACCTAGGCGTCGCTATCTGCGCCTCCTCACTGTGCCCTTGGAGACTATAGATGAGATTATTTAATCAATATTTCTTTTTGCTCTGAGAAATTCTTATCAGCGCAGAAAAAAATCGTGAACCAACTCTAGTAAAGAGGAGACAATGTGACGGCTTGAAATCTGTCCTATATGCCGCATTCGGACTTTTCGTTGGGCTCGAATATAAGCTCCCCTTCGTAGTATCGATCGATTCACGGACGGCTCAACTGAAATGGTAACAGTAATAAGGAACGTATATGCAAGTTATACTTGGAATGCTTGGGAATATTCCATTTTTTACGAAGCCAGAAACGGGTAAACACCCTAACCAGCGATCAAGAAACATAGTAGCACAAAATACACCGAGATTGCCATTTTTTGGACCCCGAACCAAACTTAGGCTCTGCAGATGGAACAATCTTTCTACTAAATATTTTGTTTGCTAGCCCTTATTAAAGGCTGTTTTATGCACTAGGTCCGCTTTATTTTACAGCTCATCCCAAACGATTCCCATTATTCTTTAAAGGCACAGTTCACGATAAAAATGGTTTCTGAGATTCCCCTACAGCATGAATTTGAGGCCCCCGCGTACACCACATCTGGCACTATTGGGCCGGAAAACGGCCTCGTTAGGGAGTTATAAAAGCTCGAAGATTGGCCCGTGTCTATCCTCGGACGAGTTTCACCGGCATTGTAGAGACTGCACCGTTCACTAGGGAATCCATGTATGAAGTTCAAACAACTTGTCGTAACCCATAGCGACTATAAAAGACAGTTCTCAACAGTTCTGGCTTGAAGAAGTCAGCTCTTTGCGCAATCGCAACAACCGAAATCTCGTCCAAATACCCTTTCCATGTTATTTCCGTCCTGATGACCTCGTCCAACCTCTATTTTCCCTACTTTTGAGGAGCCATATTTTTCTCGAAATCGGCGAATTCTCTCACTTTCTTCACTAACGATGAACTATTCCCTATCTATACTTTCGCTTTACGAATAAAAACGGGTACCTCAAAATTAACTGTGCCTTTAACCTATCATTAAACAATAAAGCTGAACTAGGGGGTTCGTGCGTTATCGGTGGCGCAGTAAATAAGCACGATACTTGTGAAGCACACGTAACGGTTGTTACTGGGAGCCGAATACTATCAAAAAGGTGGTGATTGTCCAGTATCCCATCCGTGGTCGTGCCAGCCACGGTCTGGTAGGCAGTATACCCAAAAATCACTGGTCTTCAACGGTGAAATCGATTTTTAGGTATTAAAATTTAATTTGAACTTCAATAAACTTACTGTCATTTACGCTCTCCAAAGTGCACCGTTCGGAATCATCCGCAAATTGCCTGGTGAAGGAGTCGCGGATCTTCGGCAGCGGAAACTCTGACGTCACCTAAATGTCGGCCTTCGAACGTGGACAAAAAAAAATGTGACAACTTTTTCAGTACCTTCTTTAGTGAAATCATTTGGGGCCTGGTTGGAAACCGATCGAATACACGTAGTCGCCATGGCAGAGTAGTTTTGATAGTATTCTAAACGGTAACAGTACCCTCGCAAGAACTGACATTGAAGAGATGATAAGAATCGAAAAAAGGAAGATCTCATGTGTATTGAAGAAGTTGCGAAAAGAGTAGAAAAGGATAAATGTCAAGGGAAATGCGTAAGCTACAAATTTCCCTGCTCAACACGAAGTGGGTATGAGCATTGTGCACCTGTCAAAAATGGACTTCAAGGTGGAACAAGACTTTCTGGCAAACAAGAAATGAAATGGGATCACTAAGGTAAGAACTTCCAAAACAGGATACCCGCCGGCTACCCACGCTACCTGTCTCTCCTGTTAGCTCTACATTTCATACTACAGCTTTCTCTTTGCCAGGTCTTACTTTGCTCAATTTCTTGCAACCAGTCTCTGTCAACACGTCCGCAAGTGGGCGGAGGCGGCATACTCTACACCTCACTGAAGTCTAATTTTGCTACTTTAGTGCACTTTCCGCAGCACAAACGCCATACATCATTTGGCTCGTAATCAAATTTCTTTTCTTCAATGTCTGTATTATAGCAGTAAACTAAATTATAGTGCAGACTGCCCTTACTTTCTTCACGACTTTTCGACGACTATACAATTTGAAGCGATCTTGGCCACCGCCCGAGAAGGTAAAATTACTAACCTGTTCCCTAGCTTTTAGTTGTTTCACTTTTTTCAATTCTTCGTCCATTTCCAAATTATCAAGGATGACAGCGACAAAAAGACTGAGCACAATCTGAGATGAACGGCTTCAGATAAGGAAAAATAAGAAAAAAAAACTAAAAGTGTGATAGGGGACTCGCCAGTGTTACTAGTAAATGATATCCAACAAAGTAAATAGCCACAAATGGAACCATCGATTCATTAGTGGCTCTCAAAATCTCGACTACCACATCTGTCCAACCTTCTTGAGTAATGATTTGGAACATCGACATGAACGCCTGAAACGATCCCGAATTCAGAAATAGTAAGAACAGAAACGGTAGATTCAGAGAAACAGAGCTGCTCTCATTTTCTGCTTCTCTACCACGTCAAAAATTTCTACGAAGCACATACTGCAGTATAAAACATAACGAGAAAGAATTTTTTTGAAAGGAATTAGTCCAAAAAGGTCTACCATAGGAAATGTCGTGAACTTTTTCAAATTCGGCACATAACAGAATAATTGAAGTGAAATGGCAGAAGTGATAAAGAGAAGCACCATGGTGAAGATGACCAGACCTCCTAATTTCTTGCCAGGACCGAAAATCTGGAATCAAGACGATAGGATCGCATGAAAGCCTAT